ATTTGAATGTAAAACCAGTCTTCCCCCCCCCCCCCCAAAATACTAGAGTTTCAGTTAATTTGGATAATATTTTGGGAATTTTTCTGGACCAAACCTAAACTACAAAACTTTTATAAACTGTATGCCATGGCACACACTGCTTGCTATAAATCCATATATTAACAAATATTGCATGTACTGGGTGGGCCTTCTTGTTCATGGCACGCACCCGATCAATCACGAAGATCCACTCCAGCCTCCTGCATGCACTTCTAATTTGAATAGCAACCTGAGGGCTGTTTCATCCAGCTCATTCAATGCAATGAAACAAAAGCGTGTGATCTGTGTGTCATGCTCCAAATCCACGAAAGAAAAAAAGGAAAGCCAGAAAAGCTGTTCAGGCAGGAAAAATACAAACACAGCCTTCCTTGGGCCATCATTTGTGAACACTGAGGACTCGATTCTCACGTATATTAATGCCATTATATACAGCTGAGGGAGTCTAAAAGTATTTTAGAAGAAGCACAAATTACATTTACCTCCTGCTTACAATTTGCTTATACATCACTAGTGTTAGGCTGGATAAGAGTCTGGCCCATAACTGGACTGATTTGAGTACCGGCTTTTCCAGGTTTTGTAGCATGTTCTTCAAGCTATGCTTCAAAAGCTACTAAAATCATCTGCTTAAAAGGCAGGATTGTGCAACCATGAAGGCCTTCCACCTTTTATCTTTAAATAAAACAAACTATTCTGTGCACAATTTCCACATGATATCTGAGAAAAATATTGTCTATGTTGGGGTCTAGTTCCATTTGTGAACTGTTAAGTTGTAAGAAAAATACCAAACACCACCTGCCAATGATTCACTCCTATATATGTTACTTCATATATTGAAAGATGTTTCCTAAAACTGGTTTTGATTCCCAACAAGACCTTACCACGGCCACCTAAATGCCAGGACTTGCCCATCATTTGGGTTATATTTGTATGCATCGTGAGACAGGTTCAATGTTGCTCAAAGACCGAAGACCTGCTTCCGCTGACACCGGCGAGCGCTGATCAGACTTGCTGGGTTGGAGGAAAATTTGTTTGCATTTTTTCCTATTTTGTTAACGTTACCAGAAAGAATTACATCCCTCACATTAAGATAAATCTGGCTCTTTAAAATATTCCACACCTGAAGGATCATTTCTCTCTGGTTAGAGCACTAGGGTAGAACCAAGGGACCTGCCAAACACGTCACTCCTCCGTGA